TCTGTTTGCAGGAGAAGGTCTGTAGCCATACAGAACTGGGAAAAATTCCAGACTTGGGTTCTAATGTTTTACAGGTGTGTTTATTGCTGGAAGTGGAATGTACAAAAAAACTCCGCCACGAGGGAACATCTTACTCGAAGTTTGCCAGTGCATTGGGGTGAGCTTATTTCTGTCCGATCCTTTTTATGCACAGTTCACAGGTAAAAGCACATTGTCATTGGGGGTCAGTTTTGTACCTTTTTGATACAGCCGGTCCCCGAGTTGCGCACAGTCGAGTTATGACCGTTCGCATTTACGACCAAAGCTCCCATGGAGCAGTCGTAAAGGCGGTCCCCGGGTTACAAACGCGACCCGCACTTACGAACAGCGCGGTTGCTATGTAACTCAATGGGGTCCGAGTTACGAACAGATCGAGTTATGGCCAACTGTTTGGTCCATAACTCGTTCGTAACTTGGGGAGAGGCCGTAAAATCATGTAATTTGGAGATTCCCAGAAGCAGCAGCTGGCGCCCTGGGGCCTTTAAACTGCGGCTGGAACACCTCATCGTGTGCTCTGGGTCTGCCCCCTGCCTTGCCCTTTTACCTGAGGCCCTGCCTCTTCCAGAAGCAGGGAGCCAAAGTGTCCTTCCACCTTCTGCAAGGGGCCGGCAAATCTGTCAGCCTCCTTGTGTGGCACTGTGAGGAAGGGGGACTCATTTGGGGACAGATTTTGACACCCTTTCTCATGCTGAATGGTGCCTTATTCTACAAGTCATTCCTCTGAGGGCAGTGGGGTGACTTGCTGCTGGAAGCTCCCTCAATCATCCCACCCCTCCCTGCTTGCAAATTGTCCTTAGCACAGGTGATAGAATCTGACCCTTCTGTTTTCTGAGAGGAAACTGAAAAGTCACAGAGTGGCCAAATCGCAGGTTCCGTTTTATTTTATTTGCTGTTCTGTAACTTTTCCAAAGCTGCTGAGTTCAGCAGAGAACAGCAGCACATGTACCCAATGAAGCTCAGACTGATATTGTTATGGTACTGTAACGTGTAGTTTTACTAGGTTTTTTTTTTCCTGGCATGCAAGCAGTGAACCGTCTTTGAAGAAATACTGTGTTTGCCATATAGTTCCTCTGGGAAATTGTTGCAAGCAGCAAGCATTTTCTGTCTGCCTTAATCTCTCTAACTAGCCTCAATCTTTGACCCAGAGTTGATGCTTGGGAACAGGCCATTGGTTTGTCAAGGAGTGGGGTATAAACAAACAAGTCACGCATAGAAAATACTCATTTGTCTTCCGATGGGAAACCAAGCTGCGAGGCCCCCAAATTAGCTCCTGCTCGAGAAAGGGACAAACAGTCCTCCAGAAACGCGGAGTAATGAAAACTCTGGCTGTGTCTACACTTGCACTTTTGTTGGTAACATTTTATCGATCAGGGGTGTGAAAAAATCACACCCCGGACTGACATAAGTTACACCTGAAGAAGCACCCATATGGACTGTGCTTTGTTGGTGGGAGATACTCTCCTGCCACTTAGAGGTTATGCTGACAGGAGAGCGTTCTCCCGTTGGTGTAGAACAGCTCCACAGGACACCTGACTGCAGGGCAGCTGCAGCGGTACAGGTCTATAGTGTAAACGTAGCCTCTGACTATAAAGTTGCTGTAAATAATGAGGCATTTATCCCCTTGTGCCAAGGGTCAAATCAGAGTGTGCTTTCTAAAAAAGAAAAATAAATGCAGTGGAGCTAAGTGAATTTCAAATAAGGAGATTTTTCCTGAGACTGGTCTTAAAACAAGTAGGAAATGATCTGGGAGGCTGGGGTCACATTTGCCTTGGAGAGATACACCAGTTCTCTTAATCATCAGGCGAGGCTTCCCTGAGAGAAGCAGAATCATAAAGAGTCTACCCTGCAATACCTCAGCTTCCACTGACTTCAGTTGAGAGCAGCTCTCTGGAGATAAGAGGGCATGTCTACACTAGGAAATTATTTCAAAATAACTTATTTCAAAATAATAGCTCCCGAAATAACTACTTCAAAATAAGCTTATTCCCCCAGGAAAGCAGGAGTACAGATTTCGAAATAACCGGCCCGTTATTGGTACTGTAGACACTCCGCTTATGATTTTTAAATAAGGGGGGGGGCATTATTTCAAAATAACTCCCTAGTGTAAATCAGGGCTTAGAGGCTCCTAGGTCAGGTCCCAAAGTAAAGAGATCAGGGAGAAAAAAAATTCAATGATGTTCAAAAAAAGGAAGGGATCCAGAGGGTCATTTGGTGGGAGAGCCAGAGGGCTGGCTGCAGGATATGAAGATCAATAATACCCAAACGTGTAGTACTAAGTGAAGGGCAGATCTGGGGCTGGAGTAAGCAGGAAGGTGAAGAAAAGGGGCATAGGAAGATGAGGTAGATTTTGAGGTGAGAAAAATATTGAGGGATTTCATGTGCTGTGTTTCCACACGCAAAGGACAACCACATCCATTTGATTTAGACGAACAGCAAAGCAAGGAAAGTCTCTACGGGAAAGAGAAAGAGAGAGACACAGTGTGTGTCTCCTGTGTAATATGCCTGGCAAAAAAGGCAGCTGCCCCTCGGAACAGAAAGGCAGAGAACAAAGAAAACACGGTTGCATTGTTTTGGGTGGCTGTGGAGTCCGTACTATGGAGGACTGAGAATGTTGAGGGGAGTTTTGAGCTGGGAATTCTCTGTGGACAGGGGGATGAAAGATGGGAGAAGGGTGGTGGTCTGACTGGTTGACATACCCCTAAGTTACACCCATTACTCGTTTCTCCTTCCCACTAGTTTGCTGTTACAAACCGGCTGAAAAACCGCTCCAAACAGATCCCCAGGAGAGAGCACTGGCTGGACTGGGCATCCGAAAAATACTCAGTAAGTGACGACGTACATCGGGGGTGGCCAAGCTGTGCCTCTGGGGGCACACGGAGCTTTTCGCGGCTCCTGGCATAGGGGCCAACTCGGGGCTGCAGCTACAGGCACTGACTTTCCAAAGTGCCAGGCCTGCTCCACTCCAGGCTCTGCCCCCACTCCACCCCTTCCCCGAGCCTGCCATGGCCTCGCTCTTCCCCCCTCCCAGAGACTCCTGCAGGCCATGAAACAGATGATTGAGATGGGTAGAAGCACAGGAGCTGAACCAGGGTGCAGGGGGTGCTGCTGCGCCCCCAGACGTGAAGTGGTTTCCATCATATACAGAGTGTACACTTTGCTTCAATGGCTCTAGCACCCGCACTATACAGCTTGTTCCGGCGCCCCTAAGCAGGAGGTGCGGTGACGGAGGGAGAGGTGCTGGTCAGCGGGGCTGCCAGCAGGCAGGCAGCGCTGCGGCCAGGAAGGCAGTGGAGGTGCTGGTCAGGGACAGCTGACATATTACGGAGTCCTTAGCCATGTACAGTGGTAAATTCAGGTAAATCCACCACCCCTGCCTTACCTGGAAGTGGCTGAGTATCCGGTTCTGTAATCCTTAATTAATTCAGTGACCTGGCTCGGGCTGTGTGGTGTCTCGGGTTCCTCGGCTGTAACAGGGACACCTTGTGTCAAGCTGCGTGCCGGTGAGTGAGCAATCACCAGCACAGCAGAGTTTCCCCTTACACAAATATTCACAAGTCTCTGTCCATTAGCGAACGTCAAGCGGTAAAACACAGGCAGTGCTAAAAAATCCATGACCAGCATGATGCAGGGTCTTCAAGGCTTCTGTATGTAAATACGTATATATCTGATTGTCTCTCCTGCCAGCCTCTCTTTAGTACTTGCCCTCCTAATCTCAGATGCCTTAGGAGCAGGACAGGGTCTACCTCTGTGCATGTGCAATGGGATTTTGATTCTGATTAGGAACCTGGTGAGGGGTTTTCAACCCAGGATAGCTGGTCGAAAAGGGAGCCTCGTGGCTCGTCAGCACTGCTAACCAGGCCAGTGACTCTCCAGATGGTGGTGCCATGTACAGGGGGGCCAACAGCTTCCACGGGTCCCCAGGCAAGGTGTGGAGAGGGGGCTGGATTCGCACCCCCAGAAGGGATGGGGCCTTAGGTGTGGGGTGGTTGGCAGCGGAAACCCTCAGGGCCTCCTGGACCATGGTGCTGACCCCTTCTCCTCCATCCCTCAGAGCTGCACAAAGGGGTGCTCTGGTGGTGATTTAAAGGACCAAGGACTCCAGATACTGCCACTGCCACAGTAGCTGTGCCAGTGTCTGGGAACCCTCGGCCTCTTTGAATTGCTGGGCACCAGGGAAATTGCCCCCCTTTTCCCTCCGCTGACGGTGAGACTGGTCATGCACAGCAGGGCTGGCAGGCTCCCTGCCAGCCTCTGCACCGTGTGGCTCCCAGGAAGCAGCTGTTATATCCCTCCTCTAGCATAGGGGAAGCTATGGAGCTCTGCACACTTCCCCTACCCCAAGTGTCACCCTCGCCACTCCTAGTGGCTGGGAACCATGGCCAATGGGAACTGCAGAGGAGGCGCCGGTGGAGGAAGCAGTGCACCGACCTTCTTGGCCACCCTTCCATGTAGGAGCCAGCGAGGGAATGGTGTCAGGAACTGCTTGAAGTAAGCACTGACTGGAACCTGTCTCGTGAGCTGCCCCTGCATCTTAGCCCCGCCCCAGCCTTGCTCTCTCTCCACCCTCTGAACCCTGTGGTCCCAGTCCAGAGCACTCTTCTGCACCCCAAATCCCTCATCCGCAGCCCCACTCCAGAATCCGCACCCTCAGCTGAACCCCACACACCAGCTCTCTTAGCCAGCCCAATGAAAGTGTGTGAGGGTGGGGACAGCAATCAGAGGGGGGGGGAAGGGGAGACGTGAGTGAGGGCAGGACCTCAAAAAGTGTAGGGCAAAGAGTGGAGCTTGGAGGAGGGGTAGAGCTGTCGTGGGGCAAGGGTGTTCAGTTTTCCGCAAGTAGAATGTGGTCAGCCCTAAACTCTAGGCTCTCTGTATTGCAAATTGTCGGAGTAGCATGTCTGATAAAGCTTTACCACACCCTTACTCGGCGTTAATTAGGGACCGTCATGCACGGGGGACTGAAATTATTGTTAGTTGTTCCACCTCCATTTTGTCTTTCCACCTGTTTCCTCTTCACAGAAGCAACTGATCAATGAGATTAAAATGGTGACACGAGTTCTCTTCCTGTTCATCCCGCTGCCAATGTTCTGGGCCCTCTTCGACCAGCAGGTAGAGTATAACAAAGTACAGACATTGTGTTGGAGCCGGTTCTGATCTTGGTCACGCCAGTGTAAAGCTACAGTAACTCCATGCAAATCACAGCGCACTGAGGGCTTTGGCAGTCTCATCTCCCCAACAGATATCTGCTTGGCTTCATGAGGCAGCAGCTGCCATTCAGGGTCATCTGGCCTTCAATCTCCAGCATGGTTTCTAGGATAGGGTGGGTGCCAGATGCGGGTGGAAAGAAGGTGCCGGGCCTAAAACAGAAGAAAAAGGGGGTGGAGGGAGAAGGGAAGCAGAGATGGGAGAAACAAGCAAAAAAGATACTGGGAGAATGAGTGAAGGAAGAGGAAGAGAAGTAAGGCCCTTCCAGCTTTCACTTTTTCCTCTGTTTCCTTATTCTCCCATCCCGCAGAGCACACCAGGGTACTTACAATGGCCTCTTTTGTCCTTAGGGATCTAGATGGACTCTGCAAGCCACTAGAATGAATGCAGACTTCGTAAGTACTTAAGATGATTAAGGATAGTAAAACTGGTCATAACCTTGACTTTTTGTAGTTAATTGTTCACAACAGTTAAGCCAGCGGCTTTGCAACCTCGTAAGAGTCACACTTTGAGGGAATGTCTACACTAGCTCATTAATTCGAGCTAATGAGGCGACCAGAGTTGCAAATGAAGCCTGGGATTCAAATATCCCGGGCTTTATTTGTATGGTCCCATCCGGTCGCCATTTTGAAATTTCACTAGCCCGAACTCACTGCCGCGCGGAGTAACAGTTAATTTAAACTAAGTCCTTACGACTAAGGACTTAGTTCGAACTAACTGTTACTCCTCATTCCATAAGGAGTAACAGTTAATTCGAACTAAGGACTTAGTTCGAATTAACGTTTCACTGCTGCGTGTAGCCGCGCGGCAGTGAGTTCGGGCTAGTGAAATTTCAAAATGGCGACCGGATGGGACCATACAAATAAAGCCCGGGATATTTGAATCCCAGGCTTCATTTGCAACTCTGGTCGCCTCATTAGCTCGAATTAATGAGCTAGTGTAGACATACCCTTATAGATTAGGGGAAAAAAAGCTGTAGGTGTACAGATCAGGATTCATGATGCTCATGAACATATGGAAAGAAGTGATGCCTAGTGGACTAAGCCCAGCTCTGGGAGCTGGGACTACCTGAGTTCTAGCTCTGTGACCATGAGCAAGTCACTGACTTCTCTCCCTCAGGTGTAAAACATGGGGCTGTCATGAGGATAAGTTAGTTCATATCCAGAAAGTCCTATGAAGACATGACTTGCAAATGGAAGAGTGTGCAGCCAGGTATAAATGCATGTCAACCGTCTGGGTCAGGATTTTATCGACAGGCCCCCATTTACAGATGTCCGTGCTGTGCTTAATTTGTAAGGCTAGAGGTGCCGGGGTCACACCATTTTTACTTTCGTAATTGATGGAGCAAGCCCAGAGGGCTTATGAACTGCTAAACCTCGAGGTGCTGGGACTTATCCTAAGCAAGATGGCACAAATTAAGCCATGCACATGTCTCAATAGGCCATCCAGAGCTTAGAGGCAGACACACATATCAGTACTAGGGCATGCAAATGCCTGTTTCCTTGGTGGATGTTTCGTTTAAACTCCAAAGTGTGAGCCTTTCGAACACTGGGCCCATGGCAATTGTCACTAGTTAGGGTAATTAATCCAAGTGAAGCATGAAAAGATTTCAACATGGTATTTTAGTCCTCCCTCCCAGAAAGGAAAGTCAACGAAAGTTCACGCGGCCCTTGCGACTGGTAACTAGGAACATTGTAGTATGTGTTTCTGTAAGCGTGTGTTTAATGATACATTAATGAACCAGATAAGAATCAACAGTGATTACTAAACAAGTTAGGGTAATTAATCCAAGTGAAGCATGAAAAGATTTCAACATGGTATTTTAGTCCTCCCTCCCAGAAAGGAAAGTCAACGAAAGTTCACGCGGCCCTTGCGACTGGTAACTAGGAACATTGTAGTATGTGTTTCTGTAAGCGTGTGTTTAATGATACATTAATGAACCAGATAAGAATCAACAGTGATTACTAAACATT